GTAATTTCCAATATTACAATTTTTTCTTCTTCTGTCCAATTTAGCAGGTTTTTGAGTTTTCAGTTTTTGGTTTTTAATCTATTGATGTTATAACATGTTATTTTAATTTTTTTTCTTTTTTTTCTTTATTTTAATTATTTTTATTTTGTTTCTGTGTTTTTAGCTTTTTTGTTTTCTTTTTTGCTTTTCTTTCCTTTAAACTACGAGATGCTTTTTTATTCTTTTGTTTCAAAGATTTTCTTTTTATTTTGCAAAAAAGCTCTAATCTTCTTGTTTGTATTTTTAAATTTAACTAAAGTACCTTTAAGAGTAGTTAGCTGAGTCTTCTCTTGTCCTAGCTGCATTCCTTTTCTTCTGTTTAGTCTCTCTAATATTTGGCACAAAACATCTTCTACTAATAATATTCTTTTTTAATTTAATATATTTGTTTTGGTCTTCTTTTTCTTTATAATTGCTTTTTTTTCCTCTATATCAATGTTTCTGTTTTCTAACTATTCTTTTATATTTTGTAACTAAGAATTACTTTTTATTTCTTCATATCTTTTAATTAGTATTTCATATCTTGTGCTTCTAACTTTTAATACTTCTTGTCTTCTGTTGTTTGATTGTCTTTTATTGCTTAACTTTGATCTTTCTTGTCTTCTGTCTTTTGACTCTTTTCTTTTTGGGTTTTTTACTTTTTAGGATTTTTTCAGTTTACTTGATAGTTGTTATACCATATTGGTATTGTTTAAGCTGTTTCTGTCTCTTGAGCATTTGCAAAAGTAATTATTGCAAACTTTTTTTAGTTGTCATTTTTATTTGATGGTATGTATATCACTTTTGCTCTCTATTTTTTAAACATCTTAATAGTAATACTTTTGATGTTTTTTAGAAATGTCTGTTAATTTTGTTATAAATTAGTTTTGTTTTTCTCTTTGTATATAGTTTTTATTTTCTTTTATTACTCTTACTAATTTATTGCTACCAAGTGGTAATGCCCATATGTTGTCTTTTTCTTTTTAATGATCTATTACTATAACTGCTAATGCTTTATATTATAATCTTTTGATTTATATTATATATATATTTTTCATACTTCTGTATATATATTTTAGTTTTTTTCATTAATATCTGATAATAAGTTTCAAATTATTAGATAACTTGGTATTTCTGTCTCTTTTAGTCTTTTTGCATACAGCTTCTTAATCTTTTTTTTAGTTTTATTTTGCTTTTCTATTTTGTTTTAATGTATTTTTTTTTGTTTGGGTTCTTTTTATTTTATATCTTCAGATCTTTTATTTTTTTTTTGTTGTTTACTCTTCATTTTATGCTTGTTTGTTATCTTTTTTTGTTCTTTTTTGCTCTTTATTTGGTTTTGTATCTTGTCTAGAATTATTTTGAATCAATCTTTATTTTTTTAATTTAGTTAATTGATTATTTCTTTTCTTCTTCTTTTATAATCAAATAATACTTCAATCTAACTATTGCCTTTTATAAAAACTTCTTCAATCTTTGTAATATGTTTATTTGCATTAAACATTTATTTTACTATGTCTGTTATTTTTTTTTTATTTTACCTAAAACATTATAGGTAAGAATTCTTATAATTATTGATATTTCATTATTGAATAATCTATTATCTGGTGTTCAGATACTTTGCTTTAGTGGTATTTTTGTTATATCTTTTTGCAATATTGTTAACTTTTCTTTTTTGTTTTTTTTTTCTTTTTTCAGAATTTGAGTTTTGTTTTAGAGTCTTTCTATTTCTTTTTGCTTTTTTTATATTTTTGTTCTTGTACTATATGTTTTTGTTTTCTATCTATTACTATCTTTTTTTTACTTATTTTGTATACTTTGAATTCTTCTTTAGATTTTTCTTTTTCTTTATTGCCTTTTGTCTTAGCTATTTTTTTAAGCTTGTTTATGCTTTCTGCTTTTCTTTCTTTTTGCTATTGTGAGTTATTCTTTGTCTTAAAATTGAAATATTTTAATCTGCTTCTTCTATTAACTTCAGTAATAACTTAACTTAATGTTCTTACTGCTGCTATATCTGCTACATCTGTTGCAAACAATAATGTTATATATCTGTTTGTTTTTGTTTCTATAACATCTGTTATTTTTAGTGTTTTGACTAGCTTAGCATTGCCAACCTTCTGTAAGCTCTGTGCTATTAATCTTTCTATCATCTTTTTTAATAAACTCCTAGGTTTTACTTTATATATATATTTTTTTATACTGATTACTGTTGTTTTATTTATTAGTTAATTTAGTTTAGTTGTTTCTATATTACATACTTATTCTAATAAACTATTTTAATACAAGTATTTGTTTGTTTACTTTATTTATTTGTTATACTTTCTATATAACCTAAATTGATCTTTATAACAAAATTTTTATAAAAATTTTGGTTTTATTAAAATTTTTAATTTTTCCAAACTATGGTATCTCTAAGTTTTTTTTATTTATATTTTTGTTTTTTAGCTAGATATAACTTTTGCTACTCTTTTTTTTTGTTAAAAGTCTAAGTATTGTTTTCTAATAGGGTTTGTGATTTTTTTTATATTTTGCTTCTTACTGATTTTTAGTCAAAAATAATTTTAGTAAAAATTATTTTATTTAAAATTTATATATTCATAAAATTTAAATAAAAAAAAAGTTTATTAAATTTGATTATTAAGATATCTTTATTTAAAATTTAAAAAAAAATCTGATGTTTTTTTTTTTTGTTTTTTTATTTTATATATTGTATCTTTTTAATATTTTTTTGAATTTTGATAATACTGTTAGTTGATTTATTAGGTTTTAAATTTGATATAATACAAATTGAGATTATATCTTTTTATAAGATTATTACTAGTACTATATTAGCTATTCTAATCTTATACTATTAACTTTATTTAGTTACCTATATAGCATCTAAATCTGTGTTTGTCATATGCTTATGCAATTATTTTAACAATTTGTAATTAAAATATATTATTAAACTATTATACAAATAAAAATATTTCTAAAACTTAATATAATATTCTAAATACAAGATATATTATTTTTTGTAATTGTATCTATATATCTTATTTATATGTTTTATTTAATTTTATTTTTTCTGTTTTCTAATTTAACTATATCTAGTAATATCTTGTTCTTACATTTCTTATCTTTTTGTTACTATACTATTTTTAAATTAATTCTATTTAAATATGTTTAATCTTATGATCTTTTATCTTTAATATATTTGTTATTAATTTTTCTAAAGTATTCTGATAATGGTTTAGAATTTATAATAAATTTATATTTCAAATTAAACCTGTTATTGTTATTAGTCTTTAACCAATCTATATTTTAAGTCTGATTTGCTGCTACTATTTTTGTAAATGTTTTAGGTCTTAATATTATATAGTAACTTAGTACTATATTTAATTTTTAATAAAATACTCTCTTCTATAATGAGAAACTGAAACTTGTTATATTTATAAACAGAATAATTTTAATTATATCTAGAAAGTTTTTCTGACTTTAATAATATTATACTACTATATATTACAAGTTCTTAACTTATTTAATAATATCTGCAAAACAATTCTGATTATGTTTAGAGAGTTATACTAATCTCAATAAATATTATATTATTTTACAAATTTTATTTTATATTAGTTAATTAATTTTAGTTTTGTTTATTATAGACTTTTATATAGATATAACCAGAACTTAATTTGATATTTTTTTTTAAATAAAAAAGTTATATATTAGTCTTCAAGATTTTCTTTTTTATAATTAGATTATTTGACTATACTAAAGGTATTTTTAATTTTAATTAAACCAATTCTTTATTATAAACCATACTAGTGTTTATTATTTTTCTTATTACTCTAATCTTAATTATTTTCAGGTTATTCTTTAATTAAATCTTTTTGAATTCTAATTAAAACTTATTTATATAATCTGTTAATTATTTTTTTAAGCAAGTATTTTACAAGTTAAATACAAAGATATTAATACTGACTATATTAAAAGATTTAAAAATGTTAATGCTGCTCTATTTTTAAGAACTTATATGTACAATCTTCTATAACTATAAACTGCTATAATATTACTGTTATATATAATGTTTGCACTTTATAATTAAGTCTTTTTTTAAGAATTTCTTTTTATTCAAATTTATATCTGCATTTGAACATTCTTACAGAACTTTACATTTGATTAATGTCTCTAATAAATTAAAAAGATAAAATTATCTCTAATCTGATTTGAGTTATTGATCTTATTTGTATAAGATTTAAAAATTTATTTACTAAGTTATAAAACTCAAATCTATATTTTTTAATGTTTATTCTTATATTTTTGTATTTTTTTTATATATATTAGTTTTTTTTGTTTTTATTTGCTTCTTTATAAGAAAATATTATCAGATTGATGATATCTTATTGTAAGACAGTAATTAGATATAATCTATAATATACTCTAACTTTATATAAAATTAAACAGTTAATATAAGCAAATTACTTGTATGACTTATAGAAGTATTTTAAGATACTAAGCCAGAATTTATGCAAATTGTATGTATATATGCAAGAATTATAATAAAAATGATTAGCAAAACTGCTAAAAGTAAAAAAAAATAATTTTATATAAATTTCCTAATAAAATTTAGTATATTCACTTATTTGATTTATAATTGCAATAGAAACCAATAAGATTTGAGATTTGGAATTGGATCTGAAACATAAAAGTCAGTTTGAAATTCTAACAAACCAAATAAGATTGTCCAGTTTGAAATTTGAAAATTTTTCACATGGAATTTGGGTTTGAATGTAATTTAACAATTTGAAGTTTGGACGGCATGTATAGATTAAACAATAAACCAAATTGAAAGAGTTGTTTTTATTTTTATAATATTAATAGGATTTCATAGTAAAACTTTATAGAATTATTTGTAATTCACAATTCTTATTTTGCTTTGATTTTTTTTCTTTTCATTCTTATATATTAATATAATTATTACCAATATTTGTTTAATAAATTTAATTAAATGTTATTCTACATATTTTAATAAATTATACAGTTAATTTACTTAATTTTCGTCACAGTTCGGACCGATGTAAGGGTATGGTCAAGCAGGTAACTTGATATCATCGGCGTAGCCTGTCACAGATTTTTGACGTGTTTCTGGTGCATCATCTGACGTTTCGTAGTAATTTGATTGCGGCAATTGTAATGAAGGTGCTAAAGTCCGAGGAGATGGTGGTGCTAGTATTCGAGGAGATGGTAACGATAAGTTTGAAGAATCCGGTGGTGAAGATGCGACAAATTCTTCAACTGAAGCTGAAGAGACGCTCTCTGCATCATAATCAACATCTTCAACCTGAAGAGCGAGATCATTAACTTCCTCTTCTTCTGATGAATCATCATTCTGTTCATTCCGCCGAAGGCTTGACTTAGTAACTTAATTATAAAAACAGTAACAAAATTCAGTTAACAGTAATGCAATTCTAACATAAAAACATAAAACTAGCCACACGGATATAAAATAGCACACCTGTTAACTTCCGTTCTAACCCGACCACAACATCAGGAGCACTATCCATGTAATGAACACTGTTTCGATTACTTCTGCCTGTAATTTCTTCACGTATATCACGTCGTCGTAACGCAGTCTTAGGTGACAAAGCGGTAGGTGAAGCTGGATCTTCATTCGGACTGGTATTTATCAATTGTTGATTATCTAAGGAGGATTTGGATGAAAACTCATTTGTTGAAGATTGATGATAATCTTTTTCAGGATTTTCTGGTGTCGCTTCTATAGTTTTTGGAGCAGCGACACCATCACTATCTGTAAAGAAGATGTAATCGAATTCCGCCATGAAGAGACTAAAAACACCGGCTGGGATACCCAGTGTAGGAGAAAATACAATCCCAATATTACGTACAGTCATCTTATTAATCTCAGCATTTTGTACAACTCTAATTAAGTGACCTGTCAATGCCCGAAGTAATGTATAGTTGGCTAAAGGAAGAGACGAAACTAAGCGACCAAGTTCATTAATACGATCTCGTCTATCGAGAAGATCTAAGGAAAATGAGACGTTGTTAAGATGAAAGTATCAAAATTATGACTCAAATAGAGCGTGAATAACGAACAACAAACCAACAACGTTAACAAATTCCATGTGTAATTCTCGGGTTAGAACACTTGTAGGTAATTCTCTCAAATAAAGCTTCAACAAACCAGCAACAGCATGCACATCGTAGTACTCTCCTTGGTTAAGCAAGTCAACATCACCTTCAACATTGAATCTATCTTTTAAGTGTTTTAATGTCATGGCAGCACCACTAAGACGGTAAATGCCTTCTTCTTTTTCTGCATCATTCGCATCCAGATATTCTATACACCTAAAAACGACAGCGGGGAGTTCGTACCCTTCTTTTATGCGCGCAACTGCAATTGCTTGATCCAAAGGAATACCGAAAACTATTTTTGAGACATCAGGTCGTATTTCATTGTATTTCTTTTTATCATCTTTGCTGCCAAACATGCTGCCAAAGAAAGTCTTGCGCGAATTTTTTCTTTTTTCAGCAGTTTGATCGTCATGTGGTCGGTCACGCCTAGTACTAGACCCTTGAGATGAACTATTGCTGCTAACAACGGCAATAACTTGTGAAGATGAAGGTGAAGCATCCCTAGGCTCTGGTGTTCCACTATATTTTCTTATACGTTCAATTTCTTCCAACATACTGGAACGCTTTTGAATATGACTAACTGAAACACCTAATGTCGGCTGTACATTCTTCGATTCATTCCATTGGTCATTTTGTGATATCTGGTCATTTTGATGGCCATACGCAACACTAGCTTCACTACGTATCGTACTTGTACTCGATATTGAATCGTTATTGCCTTTTTTTCTTTCAGCTTTATTAGTATCTTTTATTTGTTTTTCCTTTTCTTTCTTTTGTCGTCTTCTTTGTGCCTCTTCTTCAGTAACTCCGACATATTGCAATAGAGCTTCTACCCATTCATCCCTTTCTGCATCACTCTCTGCACATAATACATGACGTGTATTTTGTGTTTTTGACCCAGGTTTTGGTTCCAAAATTAAGAATGCATGTCGATAAGAATTTTCGTTATCCTTTCTTCTTTTCTGATCTTCGTATTCATTATTTGCAGCTTTATCTGTATCATTCGAAGATTGTTGCCGGCCAATTTGAGCGTGAGTTAAGCGAATTGATCCAAGATGACTCCCGTCTTTCTATAATATATGGTAAAAATATCATTAACACTAAGTATGAATAACTGATAGGCAAGCTAAGAATATGTTTATAAATAGATGATATTCTCACACTTTCATAATATTCTAAAATCGGTGATTTCAACACAAAAAATCTTGATTTCCATCCACCAAAACTCTTTCCTTTTTTAGTAAGGTAACCTTCTTTATAGCCGGTTTGCTAATTTTGAACGTTATTCCATGAATGATAATGGTAGAAGCAACCAACATATTAGGAATTTAACTAAATAAGATACCTGATAATCTTTATCATCCTGTTCAATAACGTTTGTGCTTAAAAATTTGCATAAATCGTTGGAATCCCTTAAAGGCAGTGATATTATATGTTGAAGGTATTGCTCAAGAGCGACCTATGAATTTTGAGACAATAATAACAATTACTATTTCAGTTTCAAGTAAATTTTGAAATAAATACTTGTAAATACTTAATATCAAACAGACCTTCCGCTGGTCAACTTTGCTGGGTGCATTGTTATGGAATAAATTTTTATCTGGTAATTTACCGATTTTGTTTGTTGTGTTCTTGCTGTGTCGTTGCTTTAACTTTTTGAAATAAACGAATAGATATATAATAAGCCATAAATCTAAAACCAGTGAATTCAAAATCATAACAATATACCTTTCCGTCTAGTGATAAAAAGTCTGAGTAAAATTTCTCAACCCTCCACAGTTCCTTTTCCATTCCAACAATGCGTCCATCAATTACTCTTGCCTGCCCAACAGAAATAATGAATGTCAATACTTCTTTTCCCTTGTCATTGGTTTTTTTATTACTGCCAACGACCTTTACAGCAATTCCAGATATGGCATCTGAAGTAATCGATGGTGTAGATGTTTCTGAACGTGGAGATAATTGTGACTGTTGTGATGAAGACGTAGTAGTTTGCTGAGGATGTGCCTGAAAAGATTGCCACTGTTGTCCTTGTGATAGATTTACTGAAGGATTATCGATTTGCCCCTGGTTAGGTAATGATACATTATTGGGATTAGGATTTCGGAATTCTGGATATCCTCCGTGAGGAGGCGGCATCATTGATATACGGGATCGCGGTCCTGTGGGAACATGACTAAATGATCTACTTGCTCTAAGTGATTTGTCCTTTAGGCTAATACCCAAAGATTCATTGTTACTGGTTTGAGAATCTCTCCGTGATCCTTCATCCTCAGACTTTTCATGATATGTCTTATCATCACTATTGGGTAATGAATGTGATCTAATTGGTTGTGATCTCTCTACAACTTGGTTGTGACCAACACTTTGCAAATATTTATTATAGTTCAAATTATCTTGATCGATTATAATATTTCTCGATGATGCAGTTGCATCATTTTCATTGCTTATTCTCTGAGGTGGCTGTTCATCATTGCTGTACATATAAGCCTTGGGGGAGGACGGCAAGCCAGGAGAACGTTGAGGCGTTCCTAACTTTTGCGTTAGTGGTACTAATCCTAAAGGCTCAGGAACTTTTTTGAGACTTTGAATAGGTGAATCTTGTGGATTATCAGAAATATCATTAACTTCTGAACTTTGAATATTAATATGTTGGCTTGAAGGTTTTGTGGAAGAATCTTTCAAAGGAGGTTGAGGAAATTGGACATGAGTATCAGTTTCTTCTAAAATATCTAATTCAGTATCGATAGTCTGTATTGTGCTTTGGCGTCTATGTCGACTGCAACTTCCGCTGCTTAAGCTTTCGGATTCTGAAGATTTAGTTGACATTGATGGTGAAGGTGGATTTTGATTAGATGAATGCGTATGTTGTAACCTAGAATTTTGTGAACTTTGATCCAAATTGAGAGGCGAAGGTAAGATTTGCGTATCTATGGAAGGTGAACCTGAAATATTGTTATCCGACAAAGACTGTTGAGAATTGTTCGCATTAGTTAAATTTAAGGTAACAATGTCATTTTGACTTGATGCAGATTTACTATCATTTCGTGATGGTGTCTCATCAAGTTGGTGTTCCGAATCCTTTTCGTGTTCAAAGTTTAATCTTTCAGGAGAAGGCTCATGAACAACAACAGGTGGAGGATTACTTGAATTCGATTCATTAGAAGTATTTAGACTTGAAGATAAAGCAGTCTTAGATATTATTAAAGTTTCAGAATCTTGGTGTTGTGATTGGGGGCTTTGCGTTAGTAGTTCCGTCTCTATCTGCTGTTTCTGTACTTGAGGAAACGATTTTGATAGACGTGATATAAGTGGTGGTGGTGTATTGGTTCGTATTCTAATGGCATCAGAAGTCGATGTATTATCATTAACATTGTCCGCGATTACTTTGATTTCATTACCACCTTTAACAATATTCTCCTCAGAACGTTCAAAAGCATCAATGTCTCTAATTCTTATAAGGAGTCTATCTCTTTCATGGGCCAATTTTTGATTATCCTTTTGTAGATTGGTTATTACGGTTTTTTGCTTCTCTATTATTTTCCACAGCTGATCATTCTGCGATCGTAATTGTTTAATAGTGGCTTCAGCACCACCAAGACTACCAGTACCATCTGGCGCACTAATACGGTGCCCTTCAGGTCGTGATTGTTGAGTGGACATTATAAAACCAATTTAATTAACCAAAAAGCGTAAATACAACTCTAATTAGTATTCTCTAAATTGCATGTACGTTCTACGTACGCCCTTTCTATATTATAAATAAAGTGTGCTTCACGTAAGAATAATGAAAACCCTTTTGCGGTCCAGCGATATTAAAATTGAAATTATTTGCCAGTGAATTTTATTAAGAGTTGAATACAAACGAATCGTGTAAAAAAATTGGTAATATTTAAGGGTTAAAAATAAACTAACGAGAAAGGAAGATATGATATTGTTTAGATTGATAATAAGAGAGAGGATGCGTTAAAATAATAATACGCAATAAGTAATGATACACTTGACACAACAAGCGAAAAATGTAATACCGCAATATATAAAGATTACATACGTCTGTAAGTATTTAAAATGCCATGTAATTATGCGTGAGTTTATGACTAGGGAAACAATATACGAAACGTGATTTTTTACCGTTGCTTGTTTCATGTGGGTGTCACGAATCTGATAGCAAAAAAAGTAATATTTAAAGGTACGTCACTAACTGGGCAAGTAGCACCGTAACAATAATGTTATGTGAAATAAAACATTAATTTGTAATAAGGTTGCAATAGCATTTAGATATAGGTAATATATTATTATTCTATTTAAAACTCTTTTAAGCCAGTTCAACATTATTAAATATGATCGAATAATGCCATATTTATTTGATTAGGATCAAAGTTTAGTTTTATTTTAGAAGTACTAGATTCTATCTGAACACGTTCCTGTATCGCGTCGATCTTATCTGCTTTCTTAGTGTACTTGCGCTTCGATGTCACAGATTTGTTTTCCAAAGTAGTTTCCAGATGTGTATTCCTGTTGTTGTTAACATCGTTTGTCTTAGACTTTTTAGAGATACCTTTTTCACGGAGTACTCTACATCGCTTTGTTGGCAGCTTACTTTTCGCATCTTTCGATTGCTTTTCTTGATGATAAAGTTCCCAAGATTCCTTGGCGAGTTCAACCTGGTAAGAAAGCATTCGTTTTTATAAGTTTTTTGTTGTTGAAATACAAAAAGATAAATGATATAAATATACGTTAAAAATAATGTAAAATTCTCGAGAACATAAAATTTATACCTCATCTTCATCTCGTACATAGTCTTCTAACTCATCATCATCCAAAAAGAAATCAGATCCATCAGTTTCTCTATCAGAATAGAATTCTGAATCTCTTGAATTAATTACATCAGCTTCATCATTATAATCATTCGTTTCACTTAGTTCATGGCCAACGTCTCTGCAATCAAGTTCTTCGTTCGTCTCGATTTCGATGAGTTCATTATTAGTATCTTGATCAGAATGCCGAACATTTTGTCTACCTTTTTCGCGACAATTTAGAACCCACTTATGAAACTGTATTACATCTGTGATAAATATATAACATCTACTTTTGCATTCTTGTGAAAGAGAACTCCAAGGGAGTGCATTGACCTTGGAATGCATCAAATTAATCATCTCTCTATATCTATCACACATTGTCAACTTTGGATCAATTTGAAATATTCTCCCAATCATTTCAGATGCACGTCTGTGATTATTTTTCCATTCATCAAAGCTCGGCTTTTCAGTAGCCTCAATTGCAAGCAAAACAACTGCTGCACCGATGGGGGAAGGTTGTCTTCCGCTAACAAGGTTATCATTATCGGAATATTTAAGTAACTCCATGCAAAGACTAAAAAAAACTTTGCGATAACTTTTCATTATTAGTACTGAAAATTCTTCGTTCGAATTGTTTGTTATTTCCTCATCAAAATAATCATCATAGTGTTGTGCATTTAATACTGATAAATCATATTTGAGATGATCGAGTTGTCTAATATCAGTGTATATCGGAAGTTTAACATTTTGATTTTCAAATAGTTTATTGATTGCATTAATCACTAGCAACTCAACATCTATGAAACTTGGAACTGACGGGAGAATATGAGCTCGTATTTTATGAACTACTGCTGTCAGATTCCGGAATTCCAAACCTAGTATAAACTACATAAACATGAATAATTGGTTTGTAAGGCAATATTTATACTAGATTCAAAATTATTAAAAAGTTATAGAATATTACCGCAACTTCACGCATAGTTTTCGGAATTTTTTCTTCCCTAATTGCTAATAATGCGCAAGCACCAACTACTAATCGTAGGAGTTGTCCTTCACCGACTTCAAATTTTTTCTCAACCATATTATATAAAGATTTTACACGCGTTTCAATTGGTTCTAAACACAGAGATGTGATTGTTTGTTGAATTACTGATTCAGCCTTTAATTGAGAGGGTTCCAATAAGATGTCAATGTAATGAACCAAACAATACATTACATACAGTGTTGGGTTGATCCGACCAATTTGACCAATGACAAGCATCTTTGACATTGGTCAAGTTGGTCAAATAGTCTAGTTATATGAACAGATTAATTTGGCTTCAATCAAATTTGCTTGGTTGGTCTGATTTGTTAATTTGGTTCATATTGCGACCAATGACCAGCAAATTCATAGTCGACCACTAATTTGACCAACACTGGTAAATTACATAGCTATTTACCAATATATCACTCCGGCGCTTTCCGGGATCAATGGTTGATCCATCAAGTGCTTCGCGTCTTATTGTTCGGCCTTCATATAGATCTTCGAAATAGATTTTTAAAAAAAATTGGTTACAAAATATTTCCCGTTAAAAGATACCTTTCAGCATACGTACCACTACTATCAGGAACCAAACATTCAGAGAAATAGCAGTAGCCACAATCTTTGCAAATTCTAGTGGAATCAACAGTCTCTGTTGATCTGTGCTCGCAGTCATCCGAATTCATAACGATAATAAAATGAATCCATAACAACAATAAGCAGACGATAAAAATTTTTTATTACGTGATGATCGACAACGTGCAACTCCATAAGAAATCGACGGTCACATGATGATCGTCATGCATGATCTGCATGGTCTAATTTTTTTTTTTGGTATTAAGGTAACCTCTTTGGTCTTTTGATTTTATTAACATATTTTTAGGAATGTAGTTCCGTAAGGAGCTACTACAGGAAGAGCGTACAATTGGTCACTTGTGTAACTTTCTATATTATCTATTTAAGGAGTCCACCTAATGTTTCTCACCAATTGTTGTACATTTCTGCTTGGATGTTTCATTTTAAATTTTTTAAATCTGTTTTATGTTACTTTACTAGGTCAAGTTTAAATCTTTTATCTCAATCTTAGAACATTTTTATTCTCAAGATAGACCTATCAAAGTTTGCTGTTTATTTATTTTTTGCAGTTGATTTAGATATTACTATGACAGAATTAATATTTGCAATCAAAGTTAATTATTAAACTGTTATATCTTTGTAGATTTTATCCAAATCTCAGTACTTATTTCACAACATATTTTTAGTATTTTAGTATACTTTTGTTTCTTTTACCAAACTTTCAATTCAGATAGTTTGTGTAGAATTATGAACAATTTATTGTTATATCAGGTCAGTTAAATATCTTTTTTCTTTGATCTGATTTGACAGTCTAGTTGATAATATTTCTAAAACTTTTAATCCAGAAGTTTTTGTTTGTTTGGTTACTTTAGTATTAGAATCCATTTTTTAGATTTAGTCTTTATAGTAATACCATCAAAGATTTGTGTTATTTTTTTTTCAAATAGGTTTTTTTTTTTTTTTTTTTTTAACTTTAGCAGTCATGCTAGTACTTTATTAGGATTCTTGAAACTATACAAATTACATA